CTAATTGTAATTGTCTGGTATGAAAAATATATAAAAAATATGATACTTTTTGGTAATTTTTTCTGAATTGTTTTCATAATTATTTACATATTTATACATTTTCTTCTAATTATATTTCTTCAATAAAAAATGCACATTTCTTAAAAAAATACTTAATAAAAGATCGGGTTTTAGTATTTGTTTAAATATTTAAACATTTTTAAACTTAGATTATAACTGACCTCCAAAATCCGTGTCATCTCCGGTATAAGTAAGGACTTCCTCCTAAAAATCTAGGCGAGCTTGAGCTTTGGTCAAATCAACCTACTTTCTAAGTTGAAACTTTTTAGCGCCAATATTTATTTGAATATTATGCCCAGATTATGCTTGTAGAATAATATAAATCTATAAATATGATGGCATAATGATGGATCATCTATAAATAATATGTATTTAAATATAGATGTTCAGAATGTTTGACTAGAAGGTATTTTGCAGTTCGTTACCAAACCTTATTTATTTATTAATATACGGGATCACCCCCCAATATATATATATATATATATATATATATATATATATATATATATATATATATATATATATATATATATATATAGATCGATTTAAAACGTTCTCCTACGTCTTCCGATACCCAGTTGCTACTCCTCTCGATTCATCCATAAGCCTTCTTCTATGTCTCTGTCTTTCATTTCTCTATTGATGCCTTTTCTCCAACTAAGGCGGGGTCTTCCTCTCTTTTTTTCTACCGTGAGGGGTCCACATTAAGACTTATTTTGGGAGACCTTCTTCAGACATTCTTTGTACATGACCGTACCATCTGAGTTGTTGGGTACCAATATCGTCTATTATTGTGTGTTTTACTTTTATAATTTCTCGTATTCTGTTATTCGTTACTCTTTCTAGTCTACATTTTCCAGCTGAACGTCTCCAGAAATCCATTTCCGTTGCCTAAAATTTCTCTTGTATCTTTCCTTTAGTTCCCATACTTCACTACTATAAGTAATTATACTCTTATTGATTGTATTATATATCTTGTGCTTGTTATTATTAGAGATTGATTTGATCCCAAAGGATACTATTGAGAAGGGAAATTGCTTTCCTTGCTTGGTTGTTTTTCTGCTCAATTGTGTCTACTGGATTACCCCAATACAAAGTGAAATTAAAATCTTACTTATAAATAAAACAAAATATTAATTTGGTATATATGAAACAATATGAATTAAAATAAACAAAAAAGTACCTATAAATTGTTCCTATTAATTTATAGTTTTCAGTGTTCGCTCAGTGGGCGAATGCTTACTATAATTTATAGGGTAAAAAGGTATATAAAACAGATCAACATGTCATTCTGGAGGGAACATATAAACTAATAGATTGGATAAGTTTAGAATAACAAATTAAACTATTTATTAATTTAAACACAAATACTAAATCAGAGTTATCTCGTCGGATTTTTAACAAATTCATGTTGAGTATTTTTAAAATATCTGTATAATCATGATTAATAATGATTTTTCTTCTTCTTCTTCCTCTTAATAATCAGTTCTGCTTGTTTATTGGCGGATTAATACCTCTATGGAAGGCTGTCACTCCATCTTTTGCGCGGTCGTCCGATACTTCTTCTGGCAATTGGTGACTTATCTCTTGCAATTTTGGCGACACGGGTCTCCCACTTTCAGCGTATGTGGTTATTTTATTCTTCTTTTCTATTTTGTGCCCATTCATTTATACACTGTACGTTACATTTTCTTCTAATGTCTTCACTCTTCTTTAGATCCCTCAGCGTATTTCCTGTAATTCTTCTCAGTACTCTCGTCTCTGTAGTTTACAGTAGCTATTGTGTTGTGGCTGTGTCGAGTCTTGTTTCTGAGGTATATGTCATTATTGGTCTTACACTGGCTTTATAAATTCTTGACTTCATCTCAGTGTTAATGTGTCTATTTTGCCCAGGTCACCATAGCTAGACAGTGTAATTTCCAGGTATTTTATTTCCATTACAATTTCTATTTTACATCTGGTTGGTTTTTTGCTGACTACTACTGTTTTAGTTTTCTGAGATGAGATTGTCATATTAAATACTTTTGTTCTTATGTTAAATCTGTGGACTAGTCTTTGCAGACTATCTTTATCTTGGTCTATCCATACTACGTCGTCTGCGTAACAGAGTATTTTTATTTCTTTGTTTTCACTTAATCTTTATGATCAAATTGAAGAGCATGGGGTTCAATGATTCTCTTTATCTTATTCCACTGCATATTTCTATAGGTTCTGTAAGTTCATCTATTCTGAGTTCATCAATTCATTGTCATTAATTGTATAAGAAGTGTCATATTTTTTAATACCTCTATAAAAAATATTATTCTCATAGCAAATACTCAACCGGCATAAATTTTCTTGAATGAAATTTATATCATCGTTTGAATCCACGGATTTAAATAATTTGCAACCATCAGGAAAGGCAATTTCACTTACAACACTCTTTATATCGTTCACAAACATATTAAATAACAAAGCTGAGTGAGCTCTTTGGAGTACTAATTTTGTCACATGAATTATACCTGAATTAAAACAATCTATTCTTACTTGTTGTGTACGGTCTCTTAAAAAGCTTCCAAACCATTGTAAGGTATTGATGACTAAAGCCAAAGACATTTAATTTTCTAATAGGATGTTGTGATGTATTCTGTCAAATGCCTTGAAGAAGTCGGTATAAATAGTATCCATCTAACTTTTATTCTCTAACGCGTTTATATTTTTTGTTGAAAGGGAACTAAGTCATAAGTATCACATCACTTCTCAGTAATAATGACAGTAATCGATAGAATAATTATGAAAGAAGAAAAACCTACACTATCTAACAAGACTACGGATTACATCAGCTTAAAAGTGAATAAAGAACTTGACCAAGGAATGGAGAAATTTGGTTGGTAAAAAAAGGGACTAAGAAGAAAATGGCACAAATCAAGAACAACTGTAAATAAAACCAAGAATTTTTTCCCAATTGGTTCTCCTTTTTTGGTATTTCTAGATCTTTTATTACGGCACAGGGCTGGAGAGACGGATGTCTTGAGATATCCATCTACAAGAGGTTCATAATACGAGTGAATAGAACGAGTCTGTTGTGAGTAGCATGCGCCTACATGACTGTATCTGCGGCGGCCTTGTGGTCTATCACGGGCTACGTTCTTCTGCATGTGTCAGCAGCAGAAAAGAGACATCTCTATGAGAGAAAAGAGCATTTGACAACAGCCATAAAAATAAAGAAAAAAGGAGGAATCAATGGAAAGATGACAAGAGTGGAACAACACGAAAGATGTTAACCAGTGGACTAAGATGCTGATCCCGTGCCTAAGGGATGGGTAAACTGTGGCTACAGACAACTAGATTACTTCCTGACGCAAGTGCTCACAGGATATTGGTGTTTTAGGGAATTTCTTCATAGGTTCAGAAAGACAGATACAGACAAATGCATATACTGTGTATACTCCGACACTTTTACTCACACAATGTTGAAGTATAGTAGATGAACAGTGGAAACAAAATGTATTACGAAATATAAATGAACCCTATGACTGAGAGAGAGATGATCGTGAAGATGACGGGAAGTAGTGTACACAATTACATCCGAGCAATCATTAAGAAGAAAGAAGAGAAATAGCAGCCGGACCAACAACAGAAATAAGATCTAGATAAGAGAAGAGAAGAGCGTGAACTAGTCGTAACCATAAAACGTCGCAAACTGGAATACCTGGGCCATATAATGCACAATGAACAACGATATGACCTACTTCGGACCATACTTCAAGGTAAAGTGCATGGAAAAGAGGTCCAGGACGAAGAAGAATATCCTGGCTGCATAACCTGTGAAAATGGTTTAACTTAACCACTACCGGACTTTTTAGGGCACCAGTCAACAAAGTCAGAATAGCCATGTTAGTGTCCAACATCCGTAACGAATAGGCACCATAAGCAGAAGAAGAGAAGAAAGTGCTTCGAAAGTGTCGTCAGCCTTAAAGCGACTATCCCACTTTCGGAGTACGATACGTGTGACAGTCAATTGCTCACACGTAGAAGAGGGTGGTTTTAGTTAGTAGGCAGGATAACAGGAAGGCATTTGTTTGCAGGACCTCCTTCTAGGGGGAAATGGGATCGAAATCTGAATCCAACACATGCCAGCTATCCCAAGGGATGGTTTAACCCGGTATGGTTTTTACAACTTTCCACCCTCTAAAAAAAACTTTTATCACCTACAACATGATTTCTTTTCATTGTCTTTTATCATACCTACAATATGATTTCTATTTACTGTTTCATAGGAATTATTGAAATCTATGAGTACTGTATATAATTTTGCTTTCTTTTAGGGCGAAAAATTCGTCCGTAAGTTTTGGTTTGGTTTGAAAAGTAAAATATGTATTTTTTTATTTTTTTTTTCTACTTACCCATTTGTTAATATTTTTATTATTTCTATTCTTCTCCTCTATCTCTTTTTTAAAACCCTTCTTCATTTTCTATTAGTTTATTTTCATTGTATTCCATTTTTATTCTTCGAATGTGTTATCAATATTTTTCTTACTTCTTTTTGTTTCCTTATTTTCTTTATTGCTTCTCTTATTTTGACTTTTTTATCAAACAGTTTATTTATTTTATTTTATTTACTATTGTTGTTATTATACCACACGACATTACTTTAATGTTCCTTCCTTGATTTTGCAACTTTAGTTTGTCTTTTACTTATAGGTTTTTATATGTATCCATCATTTACTAAGTTTATATTAAATTATTTCTTAATTATTTTGATTCTTGCTTGTTCGTATTTCCTTGAAATATGCTTTTTTCGTTATACTTGTACGAAGAATATAGTATTTATATTGTAAGTCTTTATTTTTGGATGCAGTTGTAAAAATGTAATTATTTAGGACTTTTGACAGTTTTTTTTAATTTGATATATATCAAACCATACTTGACCTATTATTTACACTAATTTTTATTTACAGAATGCGACGAATAATCATATTGCTACTGATATTATGCAGTGCTAAATGTCAAGAAAGTGCCCAATATCTTCAAAATGCTGTAAGAGATTTGCGAAGACTGAATTATAGGCAAACTTTAAGAAGGGCGGACACATTGTTGGCCAAGAAATCAGTTCAAGACTCCCCGATGCCAATATTACCTTCTGATATTCCCAGAACAGAACATATTGACAGAAGAGTACAGCATGGACCACCAGAGGTAAATATTTTACGAATCTGTTTTGTTTATATATTATCTTACTCATTTTCTTGTACGTTAACAGTGCCATAAACAAATTATAACCAACAGTATGGAGTTGCAAACACTTGGAGGTTACTCCAGGCGTTGCCCTTCATAACGCTATGCTGGTTTCAATAATTCGCTAATTATTGCTGAATATCATTTTTGTCTCTACAGCTTGGACTAAATCGTTTAAGCGGGGTTGGAATTAGCACGAGCAGAATTAATATAAAAGACACGCTATAAAATATAAAATCGGTTGGATGGCTTTTTTTAGAAAAGAACCAACCTCAAAATCGTATTCTTGAGTAAATTGATGTTAAAGTTCTAATGGTAATAGAAAATTCAGTTCAGATCAAAAATAATTTAAACGTAGAACATACATAGGTTTTAAAAATGTAAATGCAACATAATTATTATCAAATTTATTTTATACATAATTATTAACAAATTAAAAAAAATACTAATATGAAAATTAATAGTATTATGTAACAATAAAACACTGAAAACTTTGTTTTCAAAACTTCCACGAAAATTGATTATTGTTACATATTATTATTTAAAATGAATTTCCATCAAGTAACGGTTGAATCCATCAATTATTTAATAGTATTATGTGGGATGGTTCTTTTATGCAAAATTAAATTTGTGAGATTCTGTATAAAGATACTTTATTGGCTACAGAGAACAAAACATTATTAACAATAATTAAATTTTTGACGATTCCATTTCAAAATCTGGCGCACCACTGAAGCCATCTACATCGTCTATAATGTTTGTGCCGGTAATATTTGAATAAAAATGTTTGCAATCATTCGGAATCAAATACATCACGGATTTTATGTTTACTAGACTTGAGTTTGATATTTGTTTTTCATTGAGCCACATAGGTAGATCTTTAGCCACTAGATCTTTAAATATTGCTGGTCGGCCTACTTGTTTTTTTCTAATGTCTATTTCATCATAAATATTGTCACTCTCAAAGTTTGTTTGCAAAAAAATAGAAAATGGTTTTTTTTTATCAAGAAATATTGTATGGGTCTGCAACCAGCTAATTTTCTTATTTTCCACATCGACTTTTCTATTTATTATTTGTTTCTCCAACTTTTTTAGTAGCAAAGAGTGACCCGGAACAAGGAAACGCATGCGAATTCTTTTTGCTGTGACTGCTACACAGCTTTACGAATTAATGTCAGTTTAATGTTGCTGTTTTTGACCGCCACAAGAATTCGACCATAAGATTAATTCAGTTATATTGTCAGATACATTTTTTTTAATATGCTTTATTATGAACATGAATCAATTTCTTGGGCTCCGCATCCTGCCTCATTTTCCGTCCAGACGTAAAAATGACATTTGTTGGTGGAACCAGAGTGAATGCCTAAATTATAAAACCAAATTTGTTTCTTATAAAACAGAATTCCCGTTGTTAACTGTAGTAATGGCAGTCTTGATGACACTCTATTGTTTCATTATCTTTAGCCAGTTCATTCAGATCATTCTTCATCTGGTCTCTAACCCTCTGCCAATCTTTTATATGATTGTCGTGCTCTTCCTTGAATTTTTCTTTTTCGTTTTCAGAAAAGGTATTTTTAGATTGTACTGTGGTAGGTGTCGCATGTATTACAGGTATCCTTTTTTAATGATTTAAATTTTAAATTAAATTTAGTTAAAAATATACACCTGTATGTTTGAAAACTGGAGTTTCATTTGCTTCTTTACATTCCATATACATAAAAAAAATTATTTCTCGAGGTAGAAATATTAACATTGGGATCTGCTGTAAAAATTTTGTATTTTGGTATATTGTTTATTTGGTCGAAGACAACTACTTGTTGTCTTTGTTCATCTATCTTATTTTTCCCTTGTGCTTGTCTCCTTTTATCTGTTAAACTATTTGATCTTGGTTCCAAGAGTGCTGAATTAACACTTTATGCCGAAATACAGAGGGTTTTGATAAAAGTGTCACGGCAGACTTACGACCCCATCTAGTTCGTAAATCCTGGAATATGTTTTTAGTCTTTGTCCCAGTCCTTTTTTTTTGTCTGATTATTTTACTAGGGACCTATATACGTTGATTGGGCGTCATAATTACCTAATTCCCAAATTTTTTTAAAACATTCTTGTCTTTGCTCTAAACTTAATGCCGTAGTACATTTCTTTGGGCAGGAGCACTGAAATGTTTCATCTAATGTCTTTGCCGCTACTATTTTTCGCTTATGATCATAATCAATCTTAACTTCATATATATACCCGGTATTTAGGCGGCACACGCCCTTTCGGTAGGGATCTATGGAGGAGTATCACCGAACCGCAAGCCCTTAACTCTTGCCGTACTGCTCCACCATAGGCCGATCAGACACCAGCATATTCTAGTCTAAGCCGCAGATTTATTTAGAATTTTAAACTGCTGCGTTAGCCTTTTTGTTTTCTGTACACCGAGCTGGGGATCGAACTCACATCCGCTGAATCACTCGCGGTGAAGCGAATGAGAAACCGGCCGCCCAGCCCGCTTGGTTATCTGACCGACTTCTTAATTTGATTCTTAGCTTTTTTATTTTGTGCTCTTGTTAGATTCAATGATTTTCGTTTTCTTCCTCTTTTCGGTTTGGACTAAAATTTTGGATGTCTTCACTATCACAATCTTCTTGCTCTGATGGCGAATTACTGTTTCCACCTTCAACTGAAACGAATCCAGGATCCTTATCAGAATCATATCTATCATTAAAGATCATTTCTTCTATGTCAGTTGTCTAAAAAAATTAATAGATATAAAACACATACTGTTAAAACAATAAAGCGAAATGACCAAACTGCTGGCACCTACAATATCACGAAACTGTAATAAGCTTTTATTATGAAATAAAAATAATATTGTTTAAATATGAAAATTACTATTTTTAACTTTGCAGAAGAGAACCAACCCCCTTCTTTAAAAAACCCTGTTTGTTTACCAGCATCTATCACAAAGAGGATTACTTCTCTTAATTTATAATTTTCAAAGTGCATTTTATGATATTGTCATTATATTATACTTTCTTTCTATTCAACACCTAATAGACTATTAAAGTTTCAGAATAAAAATAGTGCATAACCTATCAATAACTGTTTTAAGTAATACTATTTACCTGATTTAAACTTGAATTTTCTTCATGTTTGGCAGACTCATGTACCATTAAAAAGGATCCTTGCAGATCCTGTCTGCAGGCAATTTTCCTAGTAAGCTGATATATTGGTTTGGTTCGCTTGTTAATAGATGGCGATAGCAACTACCTGCTGGGTTAGATCTTTTTTGGAGTAAAGTATATGACCTGTACGACAATAAGAATGGTTTACTGGAAAATCTCATTTTTGTGGATGGGTCCCTTTCTACAAGAAGCCGTCCCTATATTAGCTATTTCAGGCAGAGAATATCTTTCTTTATGCCATATAATGGCTATCCGTCAAAAAGTTCTGTATTGGTTTTCAGCATTTTTTTTTTATAAAAATATATGTAAACAGCAAATTGAAGAATCGTTACTGCTTTTTAGAACAGAGAACAGTGCATTTTTCAAAGCTATTTTTTGCTTTATCTCTTCGTTACGTGGAATTTCATTAATCTCTCTAATCTATATATACATATATACATATATATATATATATTATATATATATATATATATATATATATGTATGTATATATATATATATAAATATGTATATATATATATATATATATATATATATATAGGTTTAAAAATTTTAAACAAACTGTAGAAGACTGGTTATTTTAACTGTTTTCACAGGTAGTGCCAACTTTAGGATTAACCAAAGGTGAACTAGCAGCCCTTTACGAGAATGCAATAGCAAAGGGTGAAACATTGAAGTTAGATACTGGGGAGAATACTTATATACATGCAGCAGTACACGAACTGGATGGTAATGATGCGTATCCGCCTCATCACGAAGAACTTGATCATGTGGATCACTTACCTGCTGAAGAATCTAAAAATGAAGATGGATATTACTATTACTATTACCCAATCAAGAGTTTTATCGATCATATTTCTGGTTCCACTGTAAGTACTATCTTACTAGATTTAATATATTCTATATCTTAATTTTAGAATTATTACTAAGCTAGTTCTGTGAGTTCAAGTATTCTCAGAGAATATAGAGTACATAACGGATACTGCGTTTAGTAGATTGCGCACTAATGCATTAATATTAATCAAGTAATTTTTTGATCTAAAAAGATTTGATTTATTTACACAATCTACGCAATTCCACCTCCCAATAAATAACCTTGTTATAAATAATAAAAACCATATGGGAAACCAAGTAGTATCCAGAAGATTCGAAAAAATTAATTATGATTAAAAAAAAAACACAAAAAGATCCAACTCTATTAGAATCCTAACGATTACATATCCGTGGCATCTTGCGATCTAAAAATATTCGAGCAAATGGCCAGAACAAGAAAATAATATTGTATACAATCTAAGCTCAAGCTACCAAAATATCCGTTTGGATTTAGCATATTCCAGGATATAAAATATTACCCATTTAGTTACTGTCATTAATATTTCTGTGTCATCAAATCGTTCTACCATAGGGAACACGATAAAGTAAATCAAAAAATTTTATATCAAGAAATTATATGAATTGGAGTGATTTTTTCGAAAAATAGTAAAATTATACCCTAATCATAATTTCAGAATTAAAATTCAAAATTTTACCAGAAAAAATATTTTGCCAAAAATTCAAAGTATACCACTAAATTTAGTTTTTCATCTTCTTTTTAAATGCAGAATCCTTTTTTAAAAATCCAATTCCTGGATTGCTGGATTATTGCTTGAATTTCTTATAATTATAAATAAATTAATCGATTGGACACTTTAAAAAATATTCGCGTGCCAAATATAAAGAAAGTATACAGTGCGGTAAAACAGTCATGAATCAAATAAGAAGTTTGCAAAATAGATAAAACACAGTATTTTTGTTATTTATCAAGTAAGACCCATTAAGTATGGGGTTTTTGAGATTGTCTAAGTGTCCCCTTTTTCAGTTAACTATGTTAATTTCTTAAGGTGTTTCAAAGAAACACCTTAAACGCCTTTCTAGAGCAATATTTCTATGTGAGGTTGTCTGGTTACTCTCGACCAATCAAATGCTCGCATTGTAAAATCGGGAATATGTCATCCATACGACTAGTTTAAAATTCATCATTCATAGTTCATAAGTTTCAATGCTAATAAAAGGTTTAAAAACTTTTTACAGTTAAGTTTGGGATTTTATTGGCTATGTATATATTAAGTGGTTCTTATATTGGAAATTTTATCAATTTTTTCTTTAAAAATCAATAGTGTTTTGAAAAAAAAAATAGAATTGATTTGAGAAAGATTTAACACTTGTGTGTTTTAAATGGAGAAAACATTTCAATTCGCACAAAAAACAAAAAAAATGTACAAGAAGCATTGACTTAAAGAATATTTATCACTTATTGTGTGTTTTAAATGGAGAAAACATTTTAATTTGCATAAAAAACCAAAAAAATAGTAGAAAAATGTAAAAAGCAAAATTAATAATATATAGGTACTTACTTATTAGGTTTTTCCTGGAATGTGCAGCATTTTTATTATTTCTAGTGATATGCAAGAACAACAAAAACTAATATTATACATAATTTTATTATTAGATTAAAATATAAAAAATGATTTGTCCTTCAAGAATTAACCCATTGAAAATATATTTTTTCAAGATTTCATCTTTATAATCAGTCACGAGAAAGTGTTTTTTGTTACATATTCTCTTATTTATTAATTATTTAATTTCGTTAATTAATAAAATTATAAAACACAATAAAATACCGGATGAATGGAGACCGAACGAACTGATTGTACTATGCAAAAAAGGAGAAACAAACAAATAGCATACAGAGGTATAAACTTGTTAAGTGCTACCCTAAAACTTACAACTAAAATTTTACAGGTACTAATAAATCAGAGGATAAGTTTAGCAGATGAACAACAGGGTTTTCGTAGTGATAGATCGCGTACGGATGCAATATTTGTTATAAAGTAAATTACTGAGAAATCACTAGAGTATAATAGACCAGTATTTCTGTGTCTAATTGACTTAAAGAAAGCGTTTGACAGACGAGCAAAGGTTTAATCCATCTTCTGTATAATAGAAAAGTTCCCATAACTATCGAAAACTTCTTCCAAAACAACAAAATCGAAGTCAGAATAGTTGGACAATTATGCTCTTCAATTTAATCATGGATTAAATCATTAAAAGCGAAATAAAAATACTCTGTTACGCAGACGATGCAATATTGATAGCCCAAGACGAAGATAGTCTGCAAATATTGGTTCACAGATTTAACATAAGGGCAACAGAATTTAAAATGACAATCTCATATCAGAAAACTAAATAATAGTAATCAGCAAACAACCAAACAGATGTAAAATAGAAATTGATGGCATCAGTATTAAACAAGTAATGGAAATAAAATACCTCTATGGAATTACACTGTCCAAGTATGGAGACCTGGCAAAAAATGAGAGATCAAGTACCAAAAGCAAATTAATATACTGGCAGGATGCCTTAATAACACTATATGGCGAAACAAAACATAAAAACTGAGATGAAGTCAAGAATTCATAAAGCCAGTGTAAGACCAATAATGACATATGCCTCAGAAACAAGACCCGACACAGCCACAACACAAAGGCTACTTAAAACGACAGATATAAGAGTACTGAGAAGAATTACAGGAAATACGCTGAGAGATCGAAAGAGAAGTAAAGACATTAGAAGAAAATGAAACGTACAGCGTATAAATGAATGAACACAAAATAGAAAAGAATGGAATATAATGGAATAACTACATAAACACAATGGGGGAGAGGGGTGTCGTCAAAATAGCAAGAGATAAATCACCAATCGACAGAAGAGGTATCGGACTACCGCGCAAAAGATGGAGTAACAACCTTTATGTTTTTTTATGTTTAGGTTCTCATTTATCATTACGGCAACTTTTTAACCATTGTTTAATAATGCGGGTATTTTGCAGTTGCAGTTGCAGTTGCTTTTACGTGTAGCTATGCTACAAATATTACCGTCACTCATCTAAAAAATATTTCATTATTATAACATCCAAAACTACATATAATTGTTATACTACCTTTATATCACTGGTGCGGAAACACACTACACAATTCTTTATTGTCTGTGTATATTACCCAAATAAGTATTTATAGTTAATATTGTCCTTATACACTTCAAAACTCAACAAACTCTAAGCAAATAAAGAATATTACAAGAAAATTCCACAAATAACCACGTACTACCACAAACAACTGTGAATATCGGTTTCTGTCGTATGGATGACGGATGCATTACGCGCTCCCCTCGTTTCCGTCCACATAGTTACCAGACCACCTATGCTATTTAGAAATTTTGTTTCTAGATACTGTTTATACTAGACATATTTTCACCGATTATACCATGTATGATTTTACTCACCAATTCATGTTAACTATCTGGACCTAAATTAAGTTTCATTAGTCAGTAGCAGAGTGAAGTGAGTCCTTTCTCTATGCTGGGTATCATAGTGCTATATGGTGTTTGAGGACATAGGATAGTGGATATATTTACTGCTGCTATAGCTGCTATATTTACACATATTATATAATAAAACAGGAGAAAATGTGGAGCTATTCTACTTTAAACTTTTTTTAAGTGTCTTGATTATTTTGCCAAATATTGCCGCCTAATACCTGCTTAGTATATGTAATTTTTATTAATGGTTATAATCGTTTACAAAAAACGATTTTTTTTGTTAAAATGTTTCTTGAATCACATTTTTTTACGCAGTATAAAAGCAAATTCTTGCATTACCCTTATCCCTATAATTTTCAAGCAGGTGTGTCTGGCTAAAAACATTAAACACTTATTCATATTGTCCTTATAAAACACTGTTTTAAAAATAAGTCAATTATTAGACATTTAACTTAGATATTTTTAACTTTTAGGTACACGAAACTAAAAAGCCATGGACACCTGCTTGGACAACAACAACTCACTCTCCACCTTATCAGTATCATTCACACCATCATGAGGTAGGTACCTTTAAAGCAGCATATATATATTTTTTTTCTATGTTAAAATTATAAATTATAAATCCATTGTTTGTGTATGTCTTACTTTCTTAAGGCCTGTACTGACTTGAGCCAATTTATTCGCACGAACGCTGTGTGTACAAAAATGCTCAGGTCTGTGCGTGTGCCCACATAAAGCTAACGCGCACGAATGCTATCGTATCGTACCGATATGTAATCGGTCTCTGGACGACATCACAAAATATTTACGCGTTTGGACGATATTTGTGAATGTAGCAGTTGTGCCTGTACACTGTGCAGATTTATTTTAGTTAAAAATTGTTTAATTCGAATTTTTTTTTTAAAGAATAAATTTAAGTAACAAACAATGCTTGCAGTTAATTGACGAATATGAACAACAACCAACTTTATGGGAAGCCAAACATCCTCAGCATTTTTTACGAAATGAGAAGTTCGATGCGTGGAAAATTATTGGATACGTCCTCCTCCACGTGATATACAAGATAATTCGTTAGAACAGAAATATGCTTTATTGTTACTGAAAATTATACAATTTTATGGACAATGTTTATAAAAAACCAGAAAAATAACAATAACAATTTAAAATTTACTGAAATTACATAAATCGTCAATATCATAAAATAAAAGATAATAAAATACACAATTCATTACCACTTTACGAATTAAGTTTAAGTGCATGTGACACCCAAATATATATACCTAATATATATTTACTAACTCAGTGGACGGGATTGGTAAATACACATCAAAGGTTGAATTTCTGGTGGAGTAGTCAGTAAGTAAGATACCGAATTGCTCTTTTTTGTAATTTAAAAATAACATTAGATGGGGCATCTGTACTGGAATCCCAAAAAGGAAAACGATATCGAAGATGAGACTCGAACAAAGAAAAATATCTTATTTTGAAAGATTCTATATTGATTTCCTTCGAAACAGATCTTATTACATAGCAGGCTGAGGCTAGTTTCTTACTTAAGAAATCGATATGAACGGACCATTTAAGGTTGCTGTCTATAAAATACCAAGAAAATTTACAGAATCAGCGATACTTATCTGGCTATTATTAAGAAGTAAGGGTTGAAGAGCGCCTTTATAGGATAATCTTATTGTCTTATCCACGTTAAAAGATGTAAATTAGAGTCGGACTAGGTTTTTATTTTAAGTTGACCAGTAGTTATAGTTACATGAAGAGTTGCAATATTAGAGTTCCTCCAGGTGATACTGGTATCATCAGCAAAAAGAAAAATTTTTCCATCGATTTTTAAGTTAGTGATGTCATTTATAAAGATAAGGAAATGTAGAGGACCTAATACTGAACCTTGTGGTACTCCACATACAATTCTTTTGTAGAGTCAGTATCATTTGCTAGTAGTTTCCTATTCCTTAAGAAAGATTGGAACCAATTCAAATAAATACCTCGAATTCCGTAGAAATTTAGTTTTTTATTAAACTGTGGCAGTGTAAAGATTATTGTTAAGTGCTTAATAGACTTCATGTAGTACAGAAAACATATCATCACTTGTACATTTTCCTGAGAAAGGACATTTTTCTTAGAGTGCCTGTACATTTTGAACGTTGCCGATCATTTTTGCTATGATACTTTGTTGGTTGCTATACGGAAAAGCTGTGTCTTTCTATACCATGCTCTAAGGTTAGCCAGCCAGGATATTCTTCTTCGTTCTGGGGCCCTTTCTCCTTCAATTCTACCTTGCAAAATGCATTGAAGTATCTTATATCTACCTTGATTTCTCATTATATGTCCCAAGTACTGCACTTTACGGCCCTTCACGATGTTGACCAAATTCGCAGTTGTGTTCATCCTCCGTAGTACTTCTTCATTGATGACTTTGCCTGTCCATGATATCTTCAGGATCGTTCTGTATAACCATAGCTCAAAAGCCTGAAGTTTTGATAGAGTTTCCGCCTTTAATGTCCACGTTTCTACTCCGTACATAAGCACTGAGTACGCGTAACATTTAAGAAGCCTTATTTTTATTTCTAGGATGAGGTTACGGCTCTTGAACACAGAGCTCATAGTCAATAATGCACTTTTTGCCTTTCCGTTGCGACATTTAATATCTTAAAGGACATAAAAAGGACATAAGTCGGGCATTTATAAGTCTCTCAATAATTTTGGATAGGACCGGTAGTAAGGTAATAGGTTGTAAGGTTTACAGACTGTTTTAAGAGATTTAAGAAAATTTTTATGGAAAGTGCATTAGTACTACAGAAAGGTTTGCTTTTAATATTACTTATTGTTTGGATTAGATCATCAAGTATTAATTTAGATGTTCAGGGTTTGAAAGAGAAAATGTTTGAGCTGTCTTAGTTTTATTTCGAAGATCGTCTATTATGGACTTTTTTTACAGCATTTTTAGAGCTTCCCAGACGATTTTGATAGCCCATTATTTTAGTTACTTTGATAAGTTTTAGATTGGTTCCTCTGTACTTGGAGATATATTCAGTGACAAAGAGGTTGGTAGTGAATTTATTGATGTACAGTAGTAAACGCATATTTTTTTATATGCGGATATCTTTGGTAGTCCAGGGTTTGTGATGTTTTGACTTTATTGTAATTAATCCTCCGTTAGTCGCTAGGAAAAACTGAGCATGAAGAGTCGCTACGGTGTCTGAGACCGACAATTAAAAAAAAAATAGTTTTTAATATAAAATTCATACAAATATTTTATATTGTGTATAGGAATAACTGAAAAATATTTTTAAAAATATTTTATTGAAAAAAAAAAAACAGATACAAAATGAAAAACACTAGTATAACAATATATTCTGAACATTGTTAATAAGCTATTTTCTTGTGAAATTTTAAAGTAATTACTGTTAAAATGGAAATAAGCCACAACTAAAGGTTAAATTAAGTTTATTGACGTTTTAATTTCGACTTCGGATATCGTTCTAAAAGTGCAAACTTTAGTTTGTATTACGTACTATGTAATTTTCTTGTCTTGTTCTAACATTTCACGGTGGAATAGCCTTTTTCTAACTAGTAACTCCATATTTTCCAATAAACGCTAAGGTATTACTTCCACTTTCTTCTTCCTCATCTGTCACATCTTGTTCCGATTCACTTCCACCATCACGTTCCCCAATTTGATCGATTTCGCTTTCACTTCCCTCATCGTCAAAATAATTTTCATCGTCGGTAGGTACCATTGTCCATAATTCTAACAAGCGTTGGAATCAAAGATGTTTGGCTTCAAAGGATATCTATAAATAAGAATTGGCAAAAACTTACCGATAAAATGCAATCATAAGATAATAAATTTTTACCTGTTCTGCAAGTTCTGCAACAAGTAATAGCTACACCGTTAGTCGCTACGGAGTCTGGCACCGAAAATAACTATAAAACCCACACAACTGTACCCAGAAAGGTAAGAATGTACACTAACACGAGTTTGATTAAAAGGGAGAGGTACAGAAAGTGGCAATTAAAAAATAACAGTTATTTGTAAATCCCGAATGAATAATTCTCTCGTCGGTGTGTGAGACCGATAGCGACTAACGGAGGGTTAAAGAAAATGCCTTATTGAAAATACAGACAAGCCTATCTAAAAAAATTATAATCCACGTCCACAGAGGGAAAGTCAAGCACAAATTTTGGAATTTACGAAAGTTCTGAGCGGAAAAAATCCTACCTAAACGTTGGGTTTTCGAGAATGGTTTGATTTCCAAAATGAAAAATTTTTGACTTGCCGTTTACACTATTACATTATTTGAATATATTCTTAGTTGATACATCAAGCGTTATTTATATTAAAACACTGATACTTCTGATTGTTTTGAAATTTGTATGAAACATAATATGTGACAATATATTAGCAATATATATCTTTGAGGATTTTGGCAGCTTCTATTTTTTTGTTTGTAACATTCGCTTTGCACTTCTAACGATCTTTTTCCTCTCATACGAATGAAATTTCGATGGAAAGTATGCCACATGTTGGATGAATCGTCATTTCGCATTCATTACAAGTGTGAGATTCATCTTTAATGTGGTTACTATAAATGCCGCAAAATACTTGGTAGTGTTGAAGATCTCATGATCTATTTGATGACCAAAAAATGCTGCATATTGCTCCACTTCAACTTCAACTTCATGTTGACTTTGTTAGTATTTTGCTTAATTTCATTGACGCCGCGGTCGTTAATAGCATCTTCTCCATACTGAGTTGACATTAACACAGCATTTCCTATGTATGGCATAGAAAAAGATCGGTTCTCTTTAACATCCTGCTATTTACTTGTGTTGTAATATTTTTTTCACATTCCATAGAAGTAAAAGTTGCAAGGGATATTTGAAACATTTAAAATATTGGTGTGCTTTATCTAAATATGCGAAATGTAAATTATTTCATCGGAAGAAATTGTATACCTAATGTTACCTAACTATCAAAAATATTGTAGGTTACAATCAGAAAAGAAAGAGATAAAATGGAGGAAAAGAATAAAAAAGGTTTATTGGAACCGATATTTATGGCTGTTAGTGGCTTTGTCGGGATGGCAGTTATGTTTGTTATTTCCATGATCATTTTACCGAAGTTTGGATCCAAGCCAAAAAAGTCGCTATTCTTTAAGAATCCCAAGGATATTGATATGGACGAGTTAGCAAGACTAGCACTTAATGCGATAGATAGAAAAGACTGCAGAGACCGATTTGCTTGCGAATTGGTGAAAATAACTGTTGGAAGGAATTTTAATTTCGAAGACAACCGGTTTGTAAAGTAAGTATATTTCAATATCTTTTCAATGACATTATTTACAACCTTTCAGTTTTTGTGTAATATCAAGTAATAAGAAAAAGGAAATGGTTCTCTTTTTCAAAATATTATCTATTTTGTCTTATATGTTGAATTACTCTAAACTGTGGCTAACTTTGGGACACCCCAGGGTATGACTGGCTAAAAAAGGCTCCAATTTTGACTCCACACTGAAGATGGACAGTAAATCAATATTATTTCATAAACTTGAATATCAGCCAAATTCCTCAGTCTCCCTTATACTCCGTTATACTCTTTTGTACCCCCTGGATACTCAAATAAATTTTTAAATAATTTCAATGTTTCAAATGCTTTTACAGAAGAATCTAATCGTTTGAGGAAATTCATTGAGATTTGTATTTAAAAGTACTGCCTTTCTTAAATTTTTTAAATATTTTAGGCTCCGTTGAGAGTATTTTAGTATAGTAGGGATATAGTATAGTATATAGTAGGGAGATAATACTTTGATTTACGGGGAATCTAGGAGTTCCTACTAGGAATACCAATATTAGAAAATTTAGAAGAAAATATTACCCCAAAGAAAACATTTTTTTATAGTCCCTTTGAAGTGATAAACCCGTAGAGCCAAGACAAATAAATATAACATATCAATTTTTCAAAGAAATTCTCGTTTTAATTGCATCATAAGAAGACCTTTAAGATTTTCATTTGTCATCAAAGATCGAACTTTAATAATTTTAATTTCGAAAAAGCTTCTTCGCAAATTACTTGGCTAAAAGAAATTGTTCAGAGGAGTTTACATATTACTGAACATATTATATTGATAAATGTGCTATTTAATATAAGCGCATTTAATGCAAGAGTTGCATGGATTTTCTGTAATACACGATATTAGATCTTTATTTTTTGAATCGTTTTAACTTTTTACGTTCATAAAGATCTTCTTGATCCCATTGATCTGAATCTTGATTCACATAATATTCATTCAATCATAAATAAACCTCGTGGCTATTGATTACCAAATGATTGAAGTTTCTCCGCAAGTTTTTGTTGATCGATTGATGCAACTTAAGTATATATTTTTCATAAGGCATCCTTTGGTATATATAATCATTTTTTTTTAATCTAGGAAACCTTTTTTGATCATACCACGACAGATCTTAATAGAGCCGCTTTTAATCGGAAAACCTTATTGTAATGCTAGTGTTTATATGATTAATGATGACATTAAAAGTTTTGATTTTAAAGGATTTTTAGCATTGAATTCAGTCTGATTATTACGATTTTTACCTAATATTTTTTACGAGTTATTAATATCCTGCATGGTAGTTCTCCTGATAGAGGAATATTTGTTTTATACATCAGGAGAAACATCATGACAATCAGAATAATTTCCAAAGAAGTAAACTTCTGAAGTAGGCTTTTTGCCTCATTTGGAACCTTTGAATTAAAATCAGGAGAATTCGCAATTATGCAGAGGAATATATAATTAATTATAAATATACATATTTGCAATGTCATGTATCATCTCTTACAGATTCATTTTTTGCTCACTTCGACCATTTATCAAAACGACCTATGTTAATATTTGGGCGCCATTTGTTGGGTACACAGTTTTTGTCATATAGTAGTTGGTGCTTCTTACTATTTTACCCAAAAACCTAAAGCAGAAAACTAAATCATTTTAGAGAATTATACCTATACCTATGTATTTTAGGCCAATTATAGAATGAAGCACTCTAATTTTTCTGGTAAACCTTTCTCGAATATTATAGATCAGATTTGCCGTTCTAGAGATTAACTGTCCGCCATGGAGCAGTAATTTTTGGACGAAAAATGTTTGGCGCCATCTCTAAAGTAAAGGAACAAAGGAAAAAAATGAAAAAAACATTTGTATTTAAAAATTGCATAATAATATATAAAAAAAATTAAAAAGTGTCACTTTTTAGCATTCTAGATGGTAATAGTACCTTAAGGAGCCCGAATCATAAAAATGATCTTCAAGGACACCGCATGTCACATCTAATCTATTAACACAACAACTTGGGTCTCATTTTCGACCTATGTGAGCTGGCCTTTGAGTATCTGATACCTGATTGTTGTACACCATACTCAATTGATCTTCGTATCAATGAATGAATCAAACGGCGAAATCGACACCAAGTAAAAAATTTTCAGGAGAACGGTAGCTGCATTATCTTTGGATAAGGGTTCAAACATTTTTTCAGCTTATTTTCCCGCGGGCCTGGGATACCCTACATGTATTTTGCAATTATTTTCCTTTTTCTGAAAGATAATAATGAGTAATAAAATAAAACTCTATTATTCTATTAAGATTAGGAATTTCATCTTGAAATATTCTAAAGATATTCCTTATTTTCAGGTTATTAAAACGAATAGCACCCGGTGCGTTCGGCCAAATAGATAGGATAGGAAGGTATGGCGATAGACAATTACAGTGTACGCTTATTCCGTGCACAAGAAATATGAATATAAAAATCCAAAAAGTCGTCACGAAGAAACCTCCTACGAAAAAGAAGAATGTTGCTCAAAAGAAACACTAGATGCCACCAAAGCTATAGAATTTAGAAATACGTATTTATTATTTATTTATTTATTTATTTTATTTATTGTATTAGTTTAAGTTTTGGAAATCAACATTAATAATGCAGACTATTGCATGTAGTGTAACGGGGAACTTTATTTGGTATTAATGCAATGAGGTACTAATATTTGAAATATCGACCAGCAGAGAAATTTGACTTGTTTCTGGACGTAATTTTATACTTATTTATAATATGTATTCGTTTATTGCCGAATATTGTATTTTAGGACATCCTAGAACATAATCCTCGACCTATAAACGAACATACCTATAATACTCCTGTTTAAAAGTTTTTGAATCATCTATTGTTATAATTTATGGGTGGTTTGAATCACCCTTTAAACGAGGCGAGTCCCTAAGGAATAAAAAGTGTGAAATATACATGAGAGTACATCCGTTTGAAAAAATTAACACTATAAATTAGCTGAAATTTTTAACTTGTCTAATTTAAACGTGTCGACAATGTACACATCTGGTTTTAAATCAGAGAAAGATGTTCAAACAAATATAATCGATAAAGAAGGTGAAGATGTCAGCGGGCCTTGGTCCATCTCACATTCATTCTCAATCATTTTACTAATGGTTGTTCCCAATCATTTCCTAAAAATCCTAGACATTCATATTTGTTCAGCATCAGTTGTTAATAACGCTAAGTCATCTCAGCCGATACCTCCTCTAATTTCTGGTACCCATGTTGTTCAGTCTAAATGTTCGTCTACAACTTTTGATATCTCAATTGAAGAAATAGCTCCTCTTCCAGATATCATAACCCTACCAACAACCACAAAATCAAATAAAAGAAAATCCCTACACTCTGAGATATTAACATTAACTCCAATGAATAACTAATGAGAGGATGTTGAAGAAAAAAGGGCAAAGGAGAATAATAACTAAAAAAGTGTTTTCTATACCGAGTGACTTTGCATTACTGTATTGATGATACCACTTTTTATACCCAACCACCTTTCTTCGACTTAGGGTACATTGTATATTTGTGTGAAAAATAGTGAAAAAATATTTATTCTGTTTATCCAAAAATAGATTGGAAAAAAAAATTATAAAATACTTAAAATTGTTTACACTCTAGTCTTGTTATTTTAGTTCGAATCAAAAAATGAGAGTAATATTACTCTCTTCAAAAGTTAACATATTCAGTTTTGTACCTCATGCATTAAATATATCCAGTTCCCTTAGATAACTAAATAATGGTTGGTTGAAATTGTAATACACTTTTGTAAACTTGTCGCTGAACTGTGTTAGGTCTATTCTTAAATAAATATGGTATCCATTTCTGGAATATTCGTAAATGAGTTTCTAACACTTTTATTTTTTTAGAAAATTAGTAAACTAGAAGCACATCATATTTCATTCCTATTGCTGGGGCTTGATACAAAATCAAACTCGAAAGACTAGCAAATGTCTCCTAACTGTTTCCCACTCAAGTGGTAGCGTACAAAGGTGCCATCTACTTTGATGGCCATGAACGAAAAAAATATTGTTTTTTGTCCTTTGCGCTATACGAAATGTATAAAAGTTTACATCTTTTGCTAGAAGGATAGTAGAAGGATTTTGCATAGTAGTTTAAAATTTCTGTGGCCAAGGTACGCCTAAAAAATCTTAGCTCGGTGGTTTGGACGGATGGAAAACATATTAAAAATATTTAATTGTACTACTTTTTGATTTTTAAACTTTAGTGTAAAATACTACTATACACACTTCTGTTCATATAGAGTTTTCTGTGTAATTTCCCTTTTCCAGAGAATAATGATCAAGAAGTGGTCCTAATTTATTTAAACAAATTGTAAAAATCAACTTTTTCGGCGTAGAATTTTTTTGAACCTTCTGAACAAAAAAGATCTTTTGCAATTTTTGATCTTTTCAAATATTTTCGTGATTATGCAAAAATATCTTGGGAAAACAATCAATTCATTTATTTTGATAGACAAAAATTAAATTTGTATTCAAAATACTTGTCTCGCTTACTTTTTTCTATTCAATTCAAATCTACAAGAAAATAAGATCTAGCACTGTTCAACGATGAAACCTATTTTGATTTGTATAGAAATTATATATTATTGTGTTGCCAATATGAAATAAAATATAAACAAATACAATGTCTTTTTTATTTAAACATACCAGGTATGCAGATTTATAAATGTCGACTAGTTACTCATATATTATTTATTATCTTCAAAGAGAAGTAACCACAATTTTAATTGAAAATATATTGGCGTTTTATTTTTCCACTTCCGAAATCGTTCTTAAAATACAAATTAAATGATTTTGTTTCGTTAATTTCTAATTTTTTTGTACCAAATTAGTTGTTGTTTTGCCTCGGAGAATTTCTATAAATCACTCACACATTATAGTGAAACTTGATAGATTACGTCTGAAAGTGGCAAAGTTTTCAAAAAGCATCGGACTAGTGAATTCTCTAGAAATCATCTCTAAAATCTATTCCTTCTTATCTTGTGGTCAAACACATTAGACAAGAATTTATTTCACAATTTAAATTACGGCAAAATTGCATTCCTGTGGATGCCATCTCATATTGGAGTCACGGGGAACAATCTGGCAGATAAATATACACGAGAACCTTAGAGGACGAAACTATTGAGATCTACCCAAAAACTCCATAGACAGATCTCAAATCATATTTCCACAGCAAAATAGTTGACATATGGAATAGCAGATGGCACAAAAACAGGCGAAATTACTTGAGATAAAACCAACATTTCAACCAAGGTCTGATAGTTCCACCAATCGTTTTTCTATGGCGATCATCATGCGACTGCGGCTGGTTATAGTCTCTTTATGCATGGACATCTGATGTCACGAGTATTATATTTGCGAGACCCCGCTAACAATAAAACACCTTCTAGTGGAGTCCCTGTTATATAGTGCGGAAAGGGGTGAATTTGGAGAACTATTCTTAAAGTACGGCGCGATTAAATATTTAAAAGCAATAAACTATTTTATTGTTGTACTAGACTATGAATGTTAATTATTATTTTTTCGTTAATAGCCAAAAAACTCAAAATAGCCAAAACTTAAAACAAAAAACAAAATGTAGTCCGCTTGATGGAAACAATAATTTTGGTTTTGTTTTTTAAGTTCTAGAGAACAAACTCAACAAACCGTTGTTTCTTCCTTGTTTTCCACTAAACTGTCTGTTTAGTGGAAAACAAGGAAGAAATAACTGGGATCTGGATGGTGATACATCTGCATGGGTGACATTCCAATGAATTCAACCAATATTACGTCGAACTATTGGTTGACATCAGTCGCTGAAGCAGAAGGTTCCACACTCATCATCATCATTCTGGCTTTACAATCCTGCGTGGGTCCTAGCTTCCTCAAGAATTTCTCTTCAGTCGGCCATATCCATCGCCTTTCTCCGCCAAGCACGTATTCCCATATTTCTCATGTCTTCTTCGATGGTATCAAGGAACCTTGTTCATGCTCTAGATGTTCTTCCTCATCTTCTCTGACCAATGGGTATATCAAGGAGCTGGATCATTTTGTTCCATCCGCATTACATGCCGTATCCACCTCAGAGTCCTATCTTAATATGTTTTACGATATCTGGTTCCTGGTATATTCTATAAAGTTCGAAGATGTATCCACATCTTTATTGTCATTTACTGCTCTATAGATTCGCCTTAGTACTTTTGTTTCGAAACATCTTAACATGCTTTCATTACTTTTTGTTAGAGTCCAGGTCTCTAAACCATATGTTAGGACTGGGCGTATTATTGTTTTGTAAAGTTTTATTTTTGTATTTCTCGATATAATTGTAGATTTAAGGAGAATAATGATTGTTGGCCGGGCAAATTGCGCCATTTATCTCTGCGCTAGTATTATTTTCAGTGTTAAGGAGCGCTCCCAGGTATACAAATTCGTTCACTGCTTCAATGGCGTCGTTATCAATAATAAGTAGTCGTATGATATGGTTGCGTGTTTATTTTCATATACCTACTTCGTTTTTTTTGGTGTTTTGTAACTGATTCTTTTAATGCTACCTACACCTCTCGTACAGCATTTTCTGTTCTCCGAATCAGCATAGGCAAGGATTTGCACTGATTTATTATATATTAAACCTATGGTTGTTATTTGTGACATACGTATTACTTTTTCCAGAGCTAGAATGAACTGAATACGGGAGATAGAGTCTCCTTCGCGCAGCCCGTTGTTTGTTTTAAAAGATTCAGACAGTTCCCCTGAATTCGTTCTATACATTCGACTTCTTCAAGAGTTAGTTTTGTTAAATTTACCAACTGATTTGGTATTCCTTGCTCATTCACTGCTTCGAATATTTCTCTTTTATTCACAGAGTCGTGGGCTGCTTTGTAGTCTATAAATATGTGATGAGTATCTATGCAATATGCCAGTGTTTTTTCTAAAATTCATTTCAGAGTTGCAATCTAATGAATTGTCGATTTACCACCTCTGAAACCAGCCTGGTATTTTCCTACTATCCTTTCTGCATATGGTGCCATACGGTGACAGTACTGTGGAAATATTTTTTACGCTGCATTAAGAAGTGTAATTCCTCTGTGGTTACAGCATTCAAAGATATCTCCTTTTTTGTATATGGTGCAAAGTATTCCAATCATTGGGGAGATATTTCTGTGTCCATATTTCTTTTATAAGCTGCTGTAATGCCATTATGGTATCATGGCCACCTTCTATACTTCAGCTAGCTCTGAGATTATCTATTCTGGTTAGTTTTTAACTGCATCTTTACTTCAAGAATCGTTTGTGGTTCCTATTCCCTCTCGGCTGTTCCCCTTACCTCATATTTTTCGTCTTCCAGGTTTTCTTCTTCTTCCTCTATATTAAGTGCCTGGTTAAAGTATTCCATTTAAAGTAGAGTGGTTTCGTTTTTTCTTTCGCGTATCCTCTTTTCTTTTCTTCTCCTTGTCTGGTAATTCTCTACAGTTGCTCTAGTTCGTCGGGTAAGCATCTTTCTGTAGGTTTAATTTTTTTCGTTTCTTGCATTCATCGTCAAACCAATGATTTTTACGGCCACAAATTTCTATTCCTATCTCATCTTTCGCTGCTGCTTCAATCTCTTCCTTTATTCTGGTCCAGTAGGAGTCTATATCTATTCACATACAATTAAAAAGTTTCCTAGAACACAAAACAGCTGGGTGTGAGCGAACATCTCAACGTTAGAGAGAAAGCTGTGCCATTCTTGACGTCCAGATGCGTACGAAAATTTTTGGGACATCCAGTATATCAGGCCATCTACGACTCGATAACACGGAAATGCCCCTCTTCTTCTTCACGCGCCATCTCCGCGACGGAGGTTGGCAATCATCATGGTTATTCTGATCTTAGATCATGAGATTCTTCTTCTTCCTACACTTCTCTGGCCCTGGATTTTCCCTTGTATAATCCCTCAGTAGAGGTTGTATCCCTCATTACGCATAACATGCCCCAGGTATTGCAGCTTTCGTGTCTTGATGGTTTCCAATATTTCCATTCTTTTGTTGATTCTTCTCATGACTTCGTTGTTTGTTACATGCTCGGTCCATGATATTTTCAGGATTCTTCTATACACCCACATTTCAAATGCTTCCAACTTTTTAGCAGTCGATCCGTTAAGTGTCCATGCTTCCATCCCATAAAGCAGAGTCTAGAAAATATAACACTTTGCCAGCCTAACTCTTAAGTCCAATTTTAGTTCTCTTGCACAAAGTACCTTTCTCATTTTATTGAAGTTTGTACGTGCTTTCTCTATTCGAACTTTGATTTCTTTGGAGTAATCGTTTGTGTGGTTAATTATTGTGCCAAGATAGTGGTAGTTTTCAACTTATTCTAAAGCACTACCGTTAATTATCAGGCTTTCACCATTATTTTGGGTTTTTGATATCCTCATAAATTTGGTTTTCTTGGTGTTTATTGATAATCCATATTCTTCTCCATACTCAACTATCTTGTTCATTAGCTTTTGGAGGTCTTGGAGGTTGTCTGCTATTATGATAGTATCGTCCGCATTTCTAACAGAGCTCAATCCTTTAGTGAATCTTCACTTTAGAGGAATTTAGATTTCGCCCTCATGGCTCAAATCTGGATATGTAAAATGCAAATAAAAAAAAATACTTATAATGATGTTTTATTACATGTAAAAAATGTTAGCATTATAAAATAAAAGAAAAAACAAAGTGTATAAATAAATAACTGCAATAATGCATATACAGTCTTAGTTTTGTATCGGCAAATACAAACAGGAAAGGTAATATTTACCGATACTTACGTAAAATAATCTCACACTTACACTACTAAGGATATTAACAGTTCGTTTTAAATACTTCTTTATAAAAAATTAATTTTACCTTTTACATTTTTCTGACACCTTCCAAGTAAATCCCTTTACTAATAATCAATATTAATCGGAAACATATGGCTGAAAATATTAAACAAACGACTGGACTTATATAATATATATATATATATATATATATATATATATATATATATATATATATATATAATATATATATATATATATATATATATACATGTTAATAGGGCGATATACTTAAAAGCCCAAGAGCTACGCTAACGTAAAGCGATAAATGTTAGAGAACCCAAAAATGATCATCATGTAATCGGAAAAAACTTACTTTTAATCAAAACACATTCACTTTTTGTCGAAGATATAAAAAATACGAAAATAATATATTAGGTATACTAAGTGAAACTAGTTCTCTTTTGGATCCATAACTAATAATACCACAGCAGCGTTACATACCATGGTTTTCATTATCTGTACCTTTACACTGCACAGAATGAGCACTACAGAGCTCACATCTCGCACAGTACTACTCATCTATTTACCGACCCATTTACTTGCGAATTTAAATTCAGAATCTCAGAGCCAATATGGATTTTAAATAATAAAGAAATTCTGGCTTGAGTGTGGTTTCAACCAATTACCACTATATCTATGGCACAACTACGTAACATCATGTAAGGATAGCACAGATTCGCTAGCGTTTGACGAACACTTTAGACGGAGGATAGAAAATGCTAAGAAAGTGTATGAAGAACCGTACAAACAGTTTATGATGAAAGAATACATT